TACAGAAATAGAAGAGGCAAACTTGTACATACAAGAGGAAAAGAAGCCCAATTCAGAAACAGATTCTGAGAATGAAAAACAATTTGGAAAAGGATCTAGCACGCAAAATATCAGGTTTAGTTTTGAAGATACATTTTGTATCAAGAATGAATAGAGAACTAAAATGAACAGCAAATCCGCAAGCAAGCTCAACAAAAGAAAGGAAGTGGGATACAAATGGTTAAAAGTCCATTTGGAAAGAGAATCAGAACAGGTAAAGCAAAGCTGAGTCCAAAGCTGTGTTGTGCTGACATATTCTTCAGAGATATTCGGAAAGGCAGGAATGGAAATTAAGAAATTACAAGAAAAAATGTCTGGAGAGAGGAATGGAGACAGGGCAATGTGAGACACAACCAAAGAAACCATGTATAGAGAAGTAGACAGAGATGAAAATAAAGACCAGTGAGTCAAAGGAAGTGAGCCCAAAGAAGGAAGGAGGCAGCTGAGAAGAGTGAAGGAGTCAGAAAGGTTAATAGACAGGAGATCCCAAAAGGAGTGAGTGACAGGGTAGAGGAGAGAGAAAGACAGATAAGCTGAAAGAGAGCAGGTAGTGATCAGAGAAAGGGAATTAAGAAATGAGAGATAATAAAGTGAACAGTATTTAGCAAAGACAAGGTCATGGGAATGATTGAAGCAGTGAGAAAAATCTGTCTAAAACTAGAAATCAAAGGCATCAGACTGGAAAAACAGAATGAAGAACAATGGAGTTAAGTAGTTATTGGGGCTCGGGGGGAAAAAGGGACTGCCCACGGTGACAGATAAAATTTGAGAAGACACAAATGGGTTCAGTTTAGCGAAGTCACAAAGTAGTAAACTAATGGTGACTAGGAAAACTAGTGAGGACAGAGAAAACAACAGGACAGGTGAACCAGAAGCAGAAGACAGGAATCGCAGAACTCCAGAACTCACCGTGAAAGGGAAACAATTTTTTTAAAAGCATCAACTCTAAAAAGAGGTTCAGGGAAGGAAGTGAAGTTTGAAAAAGAACCTTTAAAATTAACATTTGAATTTGGAAATATGAGTAATAACTCACTGGGCATGCCCAGCACCTGTATTTCCTTCCTTGGTATTACTACCAGAAATGTTCAGTTCTTCACCCAGACCAAGCCAGAGATCAGAAATTCAGAAGACCAGCACTGCCACTGGCTAGATGATACAGGGATACGGTAGCCTTAGGAAAAACCTCTGACTGTTAAAGAATATTAAAAATGATACGAAAGCAGTGATTTGAACTCTGCTATCCAGCACCTTTACTTTCAGATTAAATTAACTCTCCACAGTGAAGGCCTTCATTGACTCTCCTTCACACCAAGCTCCTGCTCCTAGGAGCTCAAATACCTGATGCAGCATTCGCCACCAGCACTCAAATTCAGCCATTAAGATTCCCACCTCCCTTTTATAGCGGCAAAGACAGAGACTAAGAGGATGAACTGGTGAAAACGAACATCACAGTGATTTTAGGTCCCATGCAGAGGCATCTGAGAATCACTGGCATAAGAAGTTCTTTCTTTCCAAGTCTCTGTCAAGAATTTCACGTTGTGGCTTTCTTAGATGCTTCCAATACTATATTTCATCTTCTGGAATATTGGCATGTTTTTAGTTTCTGTTCATTACAAAAAGACGACATACTTCTATTGCCCACTTGTACAATTGGTAGCTGGATTATTAGAGTGCAACAGAAGAGGGGAAAAAAAATCCCATTATTCCCTGCTACCAAACCACTGACACACAGCAAGTATAAAAAACGAGGTGAGCACATCATTTCTGTACACCCTACTGATTACTATTTATTCATGTTTGTACACAAGGTTCACTCAAAATTACTGAAGTTACATAAAAACAACCTACCTATAAACAAAAGTTCACAGGACTGGGGCCATACTGGGAGCTCTTTGCTATTCTTACGAGTTTCAGATATTTTTGTATGTTTTGAAAATAACTTTAGATTTTGAAATTTAAGATGCCAAGAACCCAACTCTTCTGGGTTAACTGTGACTATGTCTGAATGCTCCATCCCTGGCAGTGTTCAAGGCCAGGCTGGACAGAGCCTTGAGTGACATGGTTTGGTGTGAGGTTTCCCTGCCCATGGCAGGGGGGTTGGAACTGGATGATCTTAAGGTCCTTTCCAACCCTAACTATTCTGTGATTCTATGATTCTATATCTGATGTAGTACTTTAGATCATTTTTTTTACAACTAGTATGAACAAGATTTTTTGAATGTACTGTCTTTTGTTACAGTCAAGAAAACTCACCTATAATCAACTACCAGAAGCAGTAAACTGTGCACAAAATGGGTAGTATATACTGTAACATAGATATATATCTGTAACAAGTTTGAAAATATCATAGAAGTGCTATATTTTTACATTATATTTAATACCTGTACATTTTATTCCTATTAGGCTACTGCACAGCAGGGGAGCTTTCAAGACAAGACAAAGATTTTACGCAGTCAATCAAAGCACGAAGTTCACTCGTGAAGCAAGTTAATACTGTAGCATTACTGAAATAAAAGGAGGAGCTAGGCAGACATTTTGGGTAGAAATGTAACACATTCTCTATGAAGAAAATAAACATGTAATGCCATAGCTCAAAATAAATAGTGTAAATGTTATCGTCAACAACATATGAAAAAGCGAATGGTGTTTTATAAATAAAATATTTTATAAGTGTATCACACACATGGGAGTGTTACAACAGACTTATTCTCATGTTACCAGGTGGATAGATTCTACAATTCCCTGTTATACAAGCAGTTCTACTAACTTGTACAAGCTTCTTAATTATGAAGTTTGGTACCAGAGTCATCTGTACCATTCACTTTACAGATTTTCAGGTAGGAACAACTACTTTTCCTCAGCACAGGATTTAATCATGAATACTAAAAAACCACCAACAACATTTAAATGCTGAACTATGCACATCTGTTAAATCTTTAGAGTCAAGACAGTAGAGGTAATAATAATAATAAAAAGCTATAATTGATTTCTTTTAGGGAAAGTTCAATACTTGATGCACAATATTAATGCAAATAGCCTGACTGATGGGGGAGGGGGGTGTGTTCAGTCATTTTTATAGTTGTTTTATTTTCATATTTCAGAAAAATAAAAAAATAGTTTTGAGTACTTGTGCGTATTAAGAGCTAATCCTGTCAGTCAAGGATTGTCCTACCTTTTCCAATACAAACCAATTTGTACTGTGACATAGGAACTACTGTTATAGAATATAACCATAATTTTTAAAATTCAATAATCAGATAATAAATGAAAAGAGATCTAGAGGCTGCTAGACACAAACCAAGGTTTCTCAAATACTTCCTTCCTACAAATTGCTCCACTGAAGTCCTACAAGATTAAGTATACACAGAAGCTAGGAAAAAAACCCTAAAGATTCATTCTACAAAATCTGGAAACAGAAACAAATGTTTTATAAAAGTATTAAGAAAAGCTGATGATCTGGCACATACTATTTAAAAACTCCTCTATTTTGCCAAACACAGTTTCCATAGTATTTGCAGTTTTAAAAAATACAAAACAAGAAAAAACCCTCACCAAGCTTGAACATTTCATCCCCAAACCCTGCAGCTGGATTTTTATTCCTTGAGCACTAAAGCAAATCAAAAATGAAAGTTGCACAGAGAAAGAAAAAACAAAACAAAACTGAGCATGCAGGGACTGACTGCATACATAACCTACACTGCTGCTTCTATTTGAACTTCTTTTTCCCATGTAAGAGAAAAGATTTAACTAACAGCTTCTTAGCAATATCACTGATTATAATTATGTGTTAACAGTTCTGTATAAAAATTTCAGTCTTGAAACTCAAGACATTTCAGTCCATTCTCCATATTTACCACATTTAAAAACAAGGCACCTTCCTTCCTTAACAATAAAAATATTATTTAAGCATATCCAAAAAGGTCTAACAAAAATATTTTGAATTTCCTTTTCAACCAATAATGTATTTATAAAACATTTTGCATACTTATTTCCCAAATAAAGAAGTGGCAACTTTCTCTTCAACATAAAAGCTAAAAATTACTTCTGCTAAACAGAAAACTAATGATCAGGTTACAGTATACAACACCAGATATTCATGAAGAATATATTTTGTTATACTACTACACTATAATATTTTTTCAAAATATTTGTGTATTTAAGAAAAAAAATTAAATATACCTTAAGGTCATTCATATTATTTTAAACACAAATCTACAAACAATGACATATGTATATATATATATATACAGTTGGGAAGTTGTAAAAGACCATGTCTTTTAATCTGACCTTCTCATGAACTACAGCCTCAAAAGAATCCTATTTGCTTCAAGAAGCATCTGCATGGTTTTAAGACTTAACTATGCAGACTCCTATTGACCCAGGACAGTGCTGCACAAGCCTATTGAAAGCGATCAGATCACAGAATCAACACCTTAAATTTTCCCAGAAAACCTCCAACAAGTGTTTTATGTGCATTATGAGAGAACAACAAAATAAAAAGGGACATTACAAAAACATCAGCATGGCATTTTTCCTGAAACTATTTTCCCCATCACATTTCACAAGCAGAATCCTATTGCCTGTCTACTCTTATGCTGAGAACTGCAAACTACAATTTAATATAAAATACAATAACCTTCTATAATAATCATGTTCCTCTTAGAACAAAGATTAAAATAAAGTTAACTGTGCTGATTCATACCTTCCATAAATTACTAAAAAGGTGAGGGATTCAGACATTTTGCTTCTGGATAATAAGCCTAATATCTGTATCATGTGCAAAAGTGCAACGTGTTTTAGAACTGAGGCCCAACTGAATACAATTTTGTTATTAAAGAAAATTACCTTGAACCCACTTAACATGGAAAACAGTGGTTCTTGATATCTTTTAAAGTTACTTTTTACATATTTAAACCTGTTCTATAACTGCAAGTTAGTAAAAAAAAAAACAGAAATCAACAGAAAACAACAAAGCTTGTATATAAACTGGTTTACAATTCAAAGCACAACAGCAAGCCTCAAATAATTACGTTTGTGTAACACAAAGAGGTGGGATGATTTATTTAAAGTACTTGGTTATTTCTGCTGTTTTCTTCATGATCTGATGTCTGTTTAGCTGCTCGCAGTGTGTGCATGCATACGTTTCGCTACATCATAGACATAGGTTATGTCTGGTCGCTTCTCTGGATCCGGGTTGATGCACATATTAACTAATTGTCGCAGCTAGGAGAGGAAAATAACATGACAGGATCATTGGCCTTCTTACAAGCAGTATTTGTGCATTATCAAATTCAAACTAATCAGACTGGCAAAAATTAGCCAAACAGCAATTCTGCATAAACACAAACTCAACCCTCCCTCTCTCAACACACACTGCCCAGCTTTATGCAAGCATGAATGAATGCAGCATACTCCCGCCATTTTTACATTTGGTACTGTTGCACAGACAAGCTGATGAGCAAACTTAAGTTCTAATCATTTTAGCATACAATTTTAGACATGTATTTAGTCCCATTACACAATGTTTTCTCTGCTTTTGGAGGGCTACACCTGCAAACTAGCATGGAAAGAAGGTAAATTAGGACTGCTTGCTCCTTCACTCCTGACACAAGAGTTAGCCAGCAGTAAGTGGCATTACTGTGTGACAGGTTCCAACAAACAAAAGGTAACAATTCTCCTTGTAACACAAAGTTAACCTGCAGAACTCCCTGCTGCTAGAAGCTACCAGTGCACACACACTCAAAAAGCGACTGAATAAACTAAACCCCTTTAGGGTATTTAATATAAAGACTCCACCTTTGAGGAAATATCTGAACTAAAAACTGGAAGCCGGAAAAGTATTCTGGGGAAGTATCAGATTATGCTGACCCTGTGTTGCCCACATTATACTTGCCCAGTGTTGAAGACATGATACTGAATAAATAACTTTTTGTCTGTGCCCCTGTATCTATTCTTAGGATTACATCTGTGATTTTTTTTTCTTTATGGAAAGAAGCACATAATTAACAAACATGTTCACAGAAACCTCTACCTGGGAATAAACAAAGCACTTTTACTAGAAAGCCACAGGTTTCCACAAGCACCATAATTTATTGGGACTTCTATAGCGCACATATTCAGCAGAAGCAATCGCAAAGAGCTTCCAGACCACCTGGATACTTCTCACTGCCTTCACAAACTGGCAGAATAGTTGGAGGGTTTTCTTCCTCCCTTGATATGTCTAAAAAAACTTATGACATTAGAACTTAATATATTGTCTGGAGAACCTTTTGACGGGGCAGCTACTTTCAACAGTGTTAATCTCCTAAGCACTTTTCAACATGGAATACACCTGCTTCACGCTGACTTGCTAAAATTTTTACCATCCTTTGCAAAACAACTTAACTCTGAAGCTCTTCCTTTATGCTTTTTAGTAGCTTTGACAAATCCTCCTCTATCTGCTTATAGCACTGGGGAGGGCAGATGTGAAGCAGCAGACAATAAAACACCTTGCCAGCCACCCGTCTATGAAAAAATGTAAAGTTTGGCTCAGTCTCCCTCCCAATATTATTAAGTATGATGATTGAAAAAAATTAGTAATTACTGCAACTAACACAGAGCGACCTCATCATTATCATTATTCAAAAGTAACATATCCTGCATATTCAAACCTGCCATCAGAGAGCTTCCTTCCCGCTTTTTATAAAAAGACCAGGAAGGATTTTCAATTATAATTACACTTCTTTCACTTTTCAGAAGATTAATTTAAATGCACAGGAAGTCCAGAAGTAAAAAATAGTGTGTACCACTATTGACAACTTCCTCCATTAGCCCTTGCAGAAGCATTATGAACTGTATACAGTGTACAGGTTTTCATATTTAACAATATAAAACTGATATTACTAGACATCCACCTTCTTTAGCAAGAAGAGCTTGATATTTAAAAATGAGACTATTAATTCTGAAGATAGCAGTCAGATTGCTGGATTTAAAAGAAACATCAAATCAAAATAATCTATAACACACTTGCTATTTGAATCTTAAATATACTATGCATATTTTGACTAATGGAGTTATAAAAGCCATCATATTGCTGCTGCCAGCAGCAATAAATAAAATACAATACCACTGACAGGAAAAACTATTAGCCTGTACTAACTCCTAAATATCTGGAGACTAGAACACTGGAAAGCATGAATCACTTTAAGAAATAATTATTTCCTACATGTATACAAACATGCAAAGCAAAACTATTGTAGAAAAAGCAGGTGGGCCAAAGTGTAAGCAACAGGCACAATGTACTAACAGAGATGAGAAGCTTGCTATTGCAACAACTTAGCCTGCATGGAAAAGAGGAAAGTCCAAAGAACATGTAAAAACCTCAAGCCTGAAATTAGACTTAAATAAGTGAACTTTTTTTTTTAAAAAAGAGAATACCAGCGTAATTTATCTGCAGAATATGCTCAGAAGTACATGTTAAAGGCTTTAGGTCCTATTAATCCCTGTAAGTACACTTGCAAAAGTCATTCACCTCTGTGGCTTCTCAACTGTGGCTTTTTGCAGCTTCTTAATTCTTGCTAAAATGCATATATAGCTACCCTTGTTTGGATGTAAGAAAGGATATACAAGCATATGTTTACATTAAGGGACAGTCATTGAAGCAGTTTACTCCAAAATTCTCTTCCCAACATCATGCAAGTGGTAAGCACAATTAGTAGCAAACCTTCACTACGAGTGTAATAAAACAAAGAATGTCATAGACCTCTTTTGCCTATGAATCTTAACATTTAAGTGTTGGCCACTGCTATTACTGCAAAATCTCCTTCCCTGTCCCCAGTCCAGAATCTCAGTTGTTAGGCAGGAATGCTGAGCTGACTATGCCTGGGACACTGCACACCAATAGTGCAGATTCCAAAGTAATCTCAAAATCCTGAACGCTTTCAAGCCTTGTTACTGAACAGCAAACCTTCAGGAGAAGGTGACTTAATTTTGCTATACAGTTTGAAAACAATTACACAGGAAGACAGACTTTCAGGACTGAAACTGGGACTATGGTGGATACTAATTCTTGGTTACAGTACTATTCCTTTAACTCCTATAGGAATATCCATTTCAATAAACCTGGAATCCACTTGTCAAGGCCTCTAGTATTAATAACATTTTGAATGTAGCAGAAGAGCCCAACAGTACCATGGGAAGAGGCACTGGGATTCTGAAGTCAGACTATCATTAGAGTAATCTTTATTATCTGGCACAGACTGGCCAACAGACAGAGCAGACTTATGACCGAGCTGGAGGGACCTCGGGTTGCATCCCCAAGCTGCAAACTTCTTCAGCTACTTATTGTTCTTAACCTCCTCGGTGTACTTAGCACAAGGACTGCCTTTAGCCTGGAGCTTAGCCTAACATTGTAGCGGTGGGACACACTTCCTTTAACTCTAGCAGGTTTTTCAGCTATGAAATAAATAATTATCACTTGAGTCAGGAGGAGGAGGGGGAAAGACAGAAATAGGACAGGCAAGTACTCTGCATCGTTAGCCAGCTGAAAAAGAAATTTTTAGATATGAAATGTTGGATGAGAAAAAAGCCCTATTCTTACTTTTAATAGGAGACCTTCTTGAAGCCTGTCCTCACTGGTATTCTCAAGACCTTCTGCTGGCAACTAACACTGCCATTGTGGACTTGCTGGCTCATTCAGCTTTCACATCTGGGTGGGAGGTTCTCTATGGGCTTTAGCAGTGCACCTCAATCAAAAGATTTAAAACTTCATCTGTTATGAAAGCAACATGATACTGGCTGACAAGATTTTGAGAGTACTGATTGGGGGTGGCAAGGGAGCCCCAGCTTTGAATTACCTAAAGCAGAACAGCTTTCAGTAAATGCTGAGTACTCACCTAAATACCAGATGTTCTTAAGTAATATTCAAAAACTGGAATGCCCAAAGTTGTAAAACATTTGAAAAGCTTGGCCTCTAACTCTAATGCTGAAGCAACAGTTCATGAAATTAGGATTTTTTATCAAAAGGTTCTTAAAAAAATATCCATCTGTCCATCGATCTTAAGGTACATCTTTCTGTCACTCTATTCTCTGATGGCACAGATGTAATACATTACTAAAAGGCTGGTTTTACAAATGTTCAAAATTCACAAAGAGTCACATCTTAAAACTCATTAAAATTTACCTACAAAGTTTCTCTAAAAAGTACTTGTCTTGTATTTTGTGATGAAAGTATTTACACCTCTACAGAAGGCACAGAGATCAACACTCAGTGAAATTCTTCACTCAGTAAATTCTTTGTTATAAAACACAAAATGAGTTTTGCTGTTCAGTGATCTCTGATCTTTACTGCTCACTGAGTGCGCTTCTAACCCAGTCAAAGGCTTGATATCTAAATTGCCAATACAGGTGAAACATTAGGCCAGTATCTTTAATATGACAGATAACACTTTGTTTGCCTTTTTTTTTTTCAGTTCATGCCAGCACAGTATTTTTTCACACAAGTAAAAAGTCTATTTTAGGTCAATTTTGGTGCAATAACTAATAAACGTATCTATTTTTCCATTTACCTTAGAAGACCCAAGTTTTACTTTAAAAAACATAAAAATGATTAAAGACTCCATAGTTGATTACTTCTTTCAAGTAACTATTTTCATACCTACCATATCTGATCCTCTCATTATGTTTTAAAGTAACTTACATGTATTTTGCAAACAGCTTTTTATCCAAGGTGTCTGCTTTGAAATAAAGAAAAATATAGCATGTTTTGCTTTGAATCTGTTTTCAACACTAGAAACTATGTGGATGCTAGTAGAAGGTGGAATCTCTTCCCCCATACAAACCTTCTATCTGGGCCAGACTTTTGATATTTGCCCCTTGGCTGGGAATCCACATACCCAACTTCACACTTAACAGCAGTGAAGTAGCCCTGCAGGCAGGACAACTTCAACGAACCACTAGTGGTATCATCATTAAAATCCTGCTGAAGGTCACCATGGAAACCGCCTGCTGAGGCTTCGCTGCTGCACTCTGCATCTCCTAATCAGCTACCATGTGAAATGCAAATTCAGACAGTCTGAAAATTAGTCAAGAAGAATAGAGGATGAGGATGCAGATATGTGAAATATTCATGCGCTTCATGGAAAAAGGAAGACAGCATGAATGACACAACAAAGAACGGCCCCTGACATTCTTGCTATCATTTTGCATTATTGTTCACACCCTACTGTATTTCTAGGCCTCCAGTTCTGAAGCTGGTTATGTGAACTGCCGTATTTATAGTCTACAATAAATAATAATTAAAAAACAGCCAAGGTAAAAGGACTAATTGGAAAACCCACAAAGAGGTATAGCATATAAATTACACAATAGATCATTATTTCATCCTTTGTAAGATCACTGAATTATCTTTTTAAGTCCACTTTGTTCCATAAAAGGGGAAAAACTGTCGCTATAAATACAAAACAAAACACTGGGCAGTAATGTTTTATTAATAGTCCAATCACTGGTTTTGAATGCAAAAAAATCTAAGGTGAAGAATTACAATCCCTACTTGATAACTGAAACTGCACAACACTTTATTAAAAGTATTTCACTGCTCGTGCTTATTTGTGTTTTCAAAGTAATCTTTAATTCATGTAGGCTGAATTCAATTAGAATTGGTTACTAATATGTGTTTGTTGGTTTACAGCTTCTAGCCATTTGCCCTATTCTTTTCAAAGTGGAAAAGTATTTCAAAACTGGCATCTCAGAACATTAACAAGCAAGCATTTATATTTTTCTTTCCATTACACTAAGAAAAATATTTATTTTATCTAGTTTCTTTTCATTTTAGGGCTAAAAAAAAGCAAGTACCCCCTTTACATGTATTAATGATGGTAAAGAACTGCTACCTATCAGCTTAAAACACTGCTGCGATATGCATGAGTATACTGTTCAAATTCAATTACATTATGCCTGCCTATATTTCTCTGAAATTTACGATTAGCATTGTCAAGAACCACTCTCTTGCAAAAGAACTCCCCCCAATTGTATCAAACAGCATATCCCAGTTTTACAATGCAGACAAATGGGAACTAAACAATTCATTTTTACTAGTGAGTTACATTATATCTATTTTAATGCAAGCCCCTAGAGAAACAAGGCTAGTGTGCTAATTTACTGTGCAACATAAACTTGTATAGTTGTGCTTTTAGAGAAGCACACTATAGACGGAAGACTCAATCCCATTCTGGCACGTAGAACATATCATTGTGCATTCTGGGAAAGCATTCTGTCATACTTGCAAGGAAGCTCAATGAAATTAAGAAGCTAACGGTATGAGGTTTCCATCATTAAACCCCCCAAATTTAAAATCATATCAGAGAGTTGTTTTGACAGGAACATTTGAGTGAGTTCAACAAGCAAACACTTACGGGCATAATCTGCAAATAACATAAAATCACACAAGTTCATTTACTTCCCTGGCAGCGTGCCAGCTTAGATAAACCAAGGATCTAGCCCACGAAAAGGAGAATTACTTACTTCCTCTGAATAGTGATCTGAAGGGAGAGGTGGGTAGTCACACTGTTCTATCTTCTTGCACAAGGAGTACAAGTTCATTTTATCACCATAAAAGGGACTCTGCAGTGCAGCCATCTGTTTAAGGAAAATGTACAGTTTTCTTTTGTGTTTTTAAGTAAACCTGTTCTGTCATAAATCTGTAATACTATCAAAAGTGACTTTTAACAACTTTCAACTCCCTGCTTAGAAGTGTCAGTGCTAAAAAGAGAACTCACAAAACTATTACTGTGTGTACTTATTCTGTGTCATGCCGTTGTACCTGTCACAAATCCAAATGTTACAATATTTGAATTTTACACCATTAGAGTTTTATTAATAGAGTATGAGGAAAAATTGAGTAGCTTCCGATATTGCTGTAGGCATAGAGGACCCTAGCACCACTAAAGAGACCAACCAAAACAAAATCCACAATGGAATTTTCCTCTGAAGACCCTTTGGAACAGAAGCATATACTTTTTTTGAAACCATTATCTGATCTAAAGCAATAATTTATGTTGAAAATGCTGAATAACAGTAGGAGATTTTTGTAAACTTCCGTAGCCATTACACTAGACTTCTTAAAGCAAGAAAACTAAATCTAACAGCTACACTTCCAAAAAAAAACCCAAACCCAAAAACTTTGCAATTCAGTACATTATTTGAAAATAGTTAAAAAAAAAAATCCTAAAACATCATCAGAAGAGCAGAACTGGCAACTATGACTGTGATTTACAACTGTAATACAAAAATAAGAATATGTCGGAGAGCTCCTGCATACGTGACCAGCTTAAAACCAGCATTAGTAAACCTACACTTTATTTCAGACCGTGTTAGAACTTGACATTTAAGGTGGAAACAAATGCTATGGTTAGCAGGATTACAAATTTAAAAATTCATTTAAAATCTCTCCATTCTGTTCAAAGCCTTCTAAGTCTTTGAACCGCAGCAGCACGAAAGCTGCTTTGAGTGCAGTGCTGCCCCAAAGTCAGTCACCCTTTTCTACATGTGCTAATAAGTCTGATTTTGGAAGGACAATGTGTACATTCCCCAGACAGGCAGAGTGTGTGTGAAACATGCTAGTCCATGCTGTGCTACTCAGTGAGCTTCAACAGGGACAGGACAAGCTGAAAATGGCTCTCATCTGTCTTGTGGTCTTCCAGATAGCAGTTTAACTCCTTCATGTCTAAGCACCAATATCATGGGGGGAAAACATATGAAGAAAATTACCAAAATTCTCTTACATTTACTTTATATCTGATAAAAATGCTCTCAAATAGCTCAGTAATTTTTCCTATTATCTTCAAGTAAGGATAAGTAATTTTAAAGCTCCCAATACAAATATCATACTGTGTAGTTCCATCTTATACTCCTCCCAAAAAATTCTGTATTACCAAAACAATGTTAATTTTTGGATTTACATGACATCGTCTCTTACCTTAAAAAGAATATTAAAAGTGCAAGCTAAAGACCAAAAAAGGAAAGAAAAAGAAAAGGAAACATCAACTGCAGGGTGTGTACGCATGCAGAAATGCTAAATAAATGCACAGATACTCATTTTCGTACTCTAGGTGTTCATTAAAAAATACTTTTGTTTGAATGCTGCCGAGTGTTAAAAAAATGCCGAATGTCCCCTAAGGAGTTAAAACAGGAATACTATATTTTCATGCATCTCCTGCTTTGACAGATGAAAAATGTCAACTGTCCTGTTTTTATTTTCAAGCTTTTGCACTATTCATCTGGTTCATTAGTGCATCTCGCTGCTGCCCCTGACAGCTGCTCGCCCTCTCCTCCCAGCAGCTGAATTTTTCAGGCTAATTTGATCCTCCACACTGAGACGATCGCTAGAATGATTGACTTGCTCCCTGACCTCCAGGGTCTGACTTTCCTGATTAGTATTCTGGGGGTGTCTGAGGGACGAAAGCCCACTGTCTGTCTTCAGGGCTGGTGGCAGCTCCCTCGCTCCTTTTTTTTTTTTCCCTTTTTTTTTTTTTTTTGAACTGTAAGCCACCAACCTACAACCCTGTAAGGATGCAATTGCTACGCTGAACAATAAAAGGAAATGTGTAAGACCTACTTTTCCATGTAAAGGTCCATGTAGCAAAAGCACAGCATCTTGATTTTAATTAGTAAAGTCTACTTTGTTGCATATCAATTAAAACTCCAGTGGCAGTGTTTTTTGAGGTTTCAGAAATACCTGGGGCTTTAAGAAAAACAGACTTTAAATTATACTTCTGAAAAATCCCACTGGCCACATAGCTAGCACTGAATAACAGACAGGTTAGAAATCATCATTTTTAAAGACAACATGTATTATAGCAAATTAGTCTAAAATTAAAACATAACTGAAAAGAGTTTAGCATCAATTAAGCGCTTATTGAGCAGTGATAAACATGCCACAGCTTTTCTCCATCAAGCTGGAGAGAATCCAGAGCACATATGAGCACATATCAACATGGAATCAATAGAATAAAACATGCCAAAATCCATATCAAAAAAAAGACACCCAGCACAAAACTGTATGGGTAATAAAAATAGCATGCATTAGTCCACACATCTTGAAAAACCTTAAGTAACCACTTTCAAATAATTTAACGCCAAAATAATAAAATGCTAAGCATATATTTTGAGTTTACTATGCTTAAGATTTCAAAATTACATCTCAATACTAAAAAAAAACAAAAAAACTCACTACAGTGTAGAATTAACCAAAAGAGATAAATGTGCCTCAAAAAAAAAATTAATGCTATAGTTGAAGACACTGCCATATATATGTATGACAATAAGACTGTATACAGTAAGTATCATAATTATTTTTGTACAATAAAACCCCCCCACACAACACCTTATCAACTTAAATACCATCCTTGTAAGACTTCTAAAATAAATAAAAAGAGAATGATATTTAAAGCTGCTAAGTTAATCAATGGAACTAAGGTATTTCACTACTTTGGAATAATTTAACAGTTCGAAGAAAAACTTAATATTCAAATAGGTGTTCAATGTACTGTACCAGCAAAGCAATAAGCTAAAAAATCTTTCATAGAAAAGTGCTACTGATTTCTATCCAGAAAGTCCATATAACACAGAAGAAAAATTAAGCTTCAAACATGTTTATTGTATATATTAGTTATTCGACGGGTTTCTTATTTCCAAATTTAAAAAAAAATCTCAAGAAAATTAATGAGGGGAAAAGAAGTAGCAATACTGACAAATCCCCATCTACCTTTATGCTATCTTTAGGCTCCTGCTTGCACAAGTGTGTGAAGTAGAACACTGAAATTGATGGCAGTTGCCACGGTCAGTACTAAGGAATCCCAATACGGGATTAAGTTTCAGTTCAGGATTTAAGCTTCTAAATGCTTGCTATCAGGTATCAGACTTCATTCCTGTGAATTGTCCCCAAGATTTAGGAGCAAGAGCTATACATAGATCTGTAAACTGTGTGGAATTGCAATACAGCTATTTGCCCTTTCTATATTTAAAGCAACAGGTTAGTGACGGAAAGTAAACTAATATTACTGGAGACAATTCACCAAGTAGTAACATATACCTTTAACAGGGTGACAATGTTTTCTACAACATCCTAAAGTAATAGGAGGTGCCAAACCTGTTGAGTATGTGTTTAATGCATTCTACTGACTCACTGAGGCAGGTGGCTTGTGCATATGCGAAGTGAGTTGGGTATATTAGTTTTTACCTGGAACATGACTAGAAAGACTTCACTGCAACTGCTGATGGAATTAAGATTTTTTCCAGCATCCTTCAACACAAGTGCTTAGTCTTTTGATCAACAAATGATATTCCAAGAACTTTGAAGAGAGTTTCCTTAGAAGCCTACATGTTCTTCACACCTTCATTCACCTCCATTTCTATTTGTCCTATATCTATATTTTCTCAAAACATAATATTTAAAATTATGTGTCACTTCCCAATCTTGACTGTATGAATACAGAAATTAACCAATAATTATAGCTTATCATTTGGAAGAAAAAGTAGATAAATAACATAGGTCAGTGCAGCAGAAGTAATTATCTTGAAAGTTAACCCCAGCTAGGAGTAATAAGTACATAGTAACTGATTTTCTTTATTTACTTAGGTTGTCAATAATTTTAAATAAACTAAACTTGTATTACAATTACTATATTACAGTTTTGCAATATAGTTGCATCCTCAAGTCAGTCCTACTATTTCTCAATGTATTTGTTACCAAAAACATTAATCAGGATGGGCCACTAAAACATCTTAACAAATTTCACATGTGTTTGCCATTATCCATTTATTAATCCTGCAGTTTTGCCCAATATTTAACAAATTGCTTTAACATCTTCGTAACAAGCCCAGTAAAAGGCAAGTGTTGAATAACAAATAAAAGTATTTCATACGTATGCTGAAGTTACATAAGAGTTCTCATTGCCAATATCAAAGACAGACGTGTAATAGATGAAAAGTAGCTTTTCCACAACACTACAAATTTCCCTAAACAACAAAAATATAGCAAACATTACTTAATACACTGAGGGGGGGGCAAGGGGAAACACAACAGTGTTACTAAGTTCACTGTATATATCACCGTTACCTCATACAGCAGACAGCCTAGAGACCAGATGTCAGATTTGAAGTTGTAACCATTTTCATGTATTCTCTCTGGAGACATATAATAGGGTGTACCAACTGCAATAAATACAAAGCATTTTTGAATGAGAATTTCTCTTATACAGCAGTAAAACTACAGATTTCCTGTCTGAAAAACTTTTTCATCTTCTATACATCTCATTTTTACACGTATAATTTCAATCCATAAGTACGAGTCTTCAGTTTGATAAAAATACACATGAATTAGATATCCATTTCTTCTAAAGCAGCTTTATTTTCACTACTGATATCTAATTACCAGAATTATTCAGTTGTAGAATACTTCCACTTCCAAAACAAAACTTTTGCTTTTAGAGAAGCTCAAAAGTAATTATTTTCTTCTGAAGAGAACCAAGGGAACATAGTACACGCACATGCACACGTCGCCACTCCTTTACGAACTGTTACCACTGTGGCTGGAAATATCAACAGCTAGAAATTCTTTTTGTGGCTTAGTATTAGTAGTAGTAGTATTTTTGAAATTAGCTGTCTGTTCTTCCTTTTGAGACTATGCCAATCTGGAAAAGCTGCTTTTGAAACTGATAAACGCAATTTAGTTTGGATATCTGAAGCTAAAATTGAGCCTGAAATCCAGAATCTTCATCTTCCCAGAGAGGAAGGCAGGAAAACCTCCTAGCCCGAGGTTCCTACAAGCACTTCAGCCATCTGCTGCAGGACTAAACTCTGCACGGGCTCTTCAGCTCCCAGATCTGTGGCTATCCTAGCTTAATCCTGCCTCAGAGCTCTGGACTCTGGAGACGTCTGCTCTTGAAAAGCAGTGTTTACTAGCACTGTCCCAGAGCAAATTTAAATTGGATATTGCAGGACATCTCTCCCCTTGACTTCAATCAGACACTACCCATCTGTGTTGCAAGTTACTTGGAAGAGAGGAATTGTGAAAGATGATTAAGATCTGCGAAAAAGAAGCCATTTAAAAAGGTAACCGAGTGATGGGTTCATATGCGACAGATCGACAAAACCAAAAGTTATAGAAAATAACAGGAGTGGCAATTTTGGTGCATTGTCTGAACTTTCTCCCCATATTCCCCTAAAATGAACTGACTAACAGCAAAGAGTCACAGATATATGTAGATTTTTACTTCAATTTTGTGTGGACAAATACTTGCTTTAGCACTGAATCCTCAGGATGAAAATCACCTGAATTCTGTCAATTCAACACAAGTTGACCTTATTTCAAAACTAAAAATCTTGCAGCATAGCCAGAGATTAACATCCACACTCTCACTGCAAACTATGGAAATCAGAGCATGACCCTCACGCTATTTTATTTAACACAGAGATCTGTTATGACTTCCACACTTCAGAGTTAGCCTTACCTATTCACAATTGATCTCTGTATGAAAACTAGAAACAGATACAGTGAATATGTAATTCCAGATCTGAATAATTAAGTTAATGGTTTTAATTTATCAGATTATTATTTTTACTCTAATCACTTCCCAAAGTTAAGGGGTTTGCTTTGACAATGTACCCTATCTTTTAGAAGACCTGACATCCCAAACTATGTCATGCTTTCTTAGGGAGAGATGGAATACTTTCCTACTTGCCAGACCCACCTTAGACTGGGAAACCCAGTACCACCTTATACCAGGTCAGGCCACTACTGCTGGTAACCCATAATTTAAACTGATCTCCTTCTTGGCAAACAATATTGAAAAAAATATTCCAAACCCATATAAACTAAGAATATGCTTGTCTAACAGATGAAGTTCCATATCGCACCCTGCAGTAGATTTTTTTCCCCTAAATATTTCAGGGGGGGGGAACTCTCAGCCCCAGGTTCCACAGCCTCTATCTCCAGAGGCTCCCTCAACACGAGCCTGAGGAATCACTGCAGCTCTGAACTGAAACTGCAAGAGATTAAGAGCTTAAAGGGAAAAAGGCCAGGGAAAGGCAACTCAAAATGATGGAGTACTGTGAAAACCATTTTCTCTCATGGGATGTTCATGTTCACCCACAACAGAGGAAAGAGAAAGAGGGATGATCTTTTCCCTATAAAACAATAGGCACGCAGATGGGTGGTCTGCAACACTGCAATACTACCAGAATAAACAGAAGCAACTTTGTTATTCTAATTTATCAACAGCAGTAATTTAATGGGAGCTTAATGACAGCTATCTTAAAATTGGAAACTGTAATTAAACAAGATTTGGCATAACACAGCTCTCATACCTTTATTATCCTTACTGTTGTGCTCCTCCCTTCAATTTTATTTTATTTACCTTCCAAGGACTTACAAGCTTGGACACCTCTGAAAACTTTCAGCTGGATTTTGCATCCATTAATTACTGCACCAGCTTAGTATATTCTGATGCTTTGTTGCCAGAATTCATCTAACAATGAAAAAAAGTAAGTTCAAGCATAATCTGGTTCTTAACTGGTTACAGAAGCACTGCCCTTGCTGCTCTAAGACATCACACAAGTAGCTGCCAGTGAGTTATGTGCCTGAAAGAGGCTTCACAGAATCCACAGGGGGCAGCTGAAAACACACAGGTTTGAAGGTTCATAGTTTCCCAAAAGCAAAGGTAATTTTAACCAGTAGCTCTGGGAAGCCTGCTGATACATTAGGGGTCTGATATGACTGTGAAAGATTGATGACAGTGAAAGGGAAGAACAAATGCTGTCATTTTACAGCATTTAGCCTGGTGTAACACCTTAACTGCAATACAACCTGAAGCCCCAAATGGCCAACAAGTGAAAGGAACTGAAATTAGTTATGTTAGTTATCAAATCACAAAAGCAACCTAAAGATCTAGACATCATTACTACTTGTAAACTGGTTTTAACAGAACATGACAAGAGAGATTCATTATTCTGACATTCAGAAACTATTAATGGCATTGCAACCATTCTTTAAAACAGGGAGCAATCTTGCTCTCGTGAGACCTCACCTGGAGTATTGTATGCAGTTCTGGTGTCCTCAACATAAAAAGGACATGGAATTGTTGGAACAAGTCCAGAGAAGGGCCACGAGGATGATCAGGGGACTGGAGCACCTCCCATATGAAGACAGGCTGAGAAAGTTGGGGCTGTTCAGCCTGGAGAAGAGAAGGCTGAGTGGAGACCTCATAGCAGCCTTCCAGTATCTGAAGGGGGCCTATAGGGATGCTGGGGAGGGACTCTTCATTAGGGACTGTAGTGACAGGACAAGGAGTAATGGGTTAAAACTTAAACAGGGGAAGTTTAGGTTGGATATAAGGAGGAAGTTCTTTACTGTGAGGGTGGTGAGGCGCTGGAAGGGGTTGCCCAGGGAAGTTGTGAATGCTCCACCCCTGGCGGTGTTCAAGGCCAGGTTGCACAAAGCCTTGGGTGATGTGGTTTAGTGGGATGTGTACCTGCCCATGGCAGGGAGGTTGGAACTTGATGATCTTAAGGTCCTTTCCAACCCTAACGATTCTATGATACTGTGATTCTATCTATGATACTGTGATTCTATGAATCTTGATCATAGCTGTACTGCTTGCAAGCAATTACCACATGTTATTATACAGTATGGAGGTTTTTTTCCTGTTCTGTGAAAAAGAGCACCACAATACTACAAAGACATGACTTTCTTTACTCATCTGAGGACTTGGAAGTGAGACAATACAAGACAGAGATGTCAAACATTAAGATGCCTATCCTTTTAAGGACAAAATTTGTAACTTTAGCATTCTGTTCACTGCATTTGCATTATCTCTGATAACCTGCAGGTCTAAATGGTAAACTCCTTGAAAATGGCCTGAGTCAAATAAACTGCTTCCTCAGTCTGCTGCTGCTCTGCAGCTCCCTCCATTTAAAGATGCAGCAGATCCAGAAAGCAGTGTTTTCTTGTGCACACCTTCTGCTACTGGGACAGGCAATAGACATTATGGGAATGGTGGTTATTAAGGAGCAGGAAGCTGGATCTGAAGTATCAGAGGCAAAGAAACTGTTATGAAGAAGGGAGTTAAGACATAAACAACCACATACGTCCCATTGCAGCTGAGCTAGAGTGTATTCACTTAAAAAACAACAATGCATCGAGGAGTTGCACATAGCACAGTAACTAGCTCTAAATACAAGCATTTTTGAGCTGGAAGAAAAATCTGCCTGGCAAATGTTGATACTACTCATACAAAACAATGTAATAGCTGATCCAGAGATGCTTAATAGACTAGTTTTAAAAAAAGCCATGTAATTTTTACTGACATTCCATGCATGGGAATACAAACTATCTGAGGTCAGGAAGCAAGCTAAAATCACTTCAGTAAGTCTTCTGATTTTCAAAGAATTCCAAACCAAGTTTAAAAAAAGGCCAAATTTATTTAAGCAATCAAACAATGTGGTTTATAAATGACTCCTTTCCACGAGGAATTTTACAATGCAGAGTTCAACACATGCAAGTGTTTAACAAGATGAAGCGTTCATGCTGAAGACAAACTAAGCTGCAGTATGGAACACTGAGGGTAACAAACTATTGACAACAGATTCTCCATTTTTTTTTTTTTTGTTACTCCTTTATTTAATATAAGTGTAGGAGATTTCTAAGCCATAGGCTCATCTTCAGCCACAGATACAGGACCTAAAATACTGTAATTATCCAAAGTAATCTGTAACCTAACTACATTATATAAATAGTCTTAACTGCAGAAACCAATCTCTATCTCGGGTTCCTTTATAATGTAGCATTGGAACAGCATAATAGTTTATCTTCGGTTTTCAACCTATTGTACAAGAGCTCAGATTTTATACATAAAATAAGAGCTGGTTTAATGCAGCTTCTTTGATGACTTGTGACAAATCAGCTGGAGGTTTCCCTGCAAGCCTTCCTGTACAATGAGAGTGCAAGTTCTCAGAACAGTTTGGTTAAGAGCATGCAAGTGGAGCTTTGCAAAATGGTGCTGCACACCCCCATATCGGCACTGGCTTTGACACCCTCTGCTGGGTTAGAGATCCATATGTAAGAGAAAAGGAGAGTGTCTGCACACATTTTTAAAAGATATTTTATTCCCCACAACTGATGTGAGTTTACTGTCAAATCGCTCATAACAGAGCTCTGTGCTGGGGACAGCAGTTCTATGGAAATGACAGAAGTTGTCAAACCACAGAAGAGACACCAGAATTCAATACAGATGATCCTTTGCTTCCAAGCATTTTAAGAAAGCTACGGATCTGCTCCTTTGCCCTGCATGAAGGCATTCACACCATGGCAGCAGTGTCCACCTGGACAGCACAATGTGCAGCTCTCTAACAACCACGCTAGAGAACCGAAGTGATTTTTTTCTTTTTGTAATTGAAACTCTAAAATACTGAAGGACTAATTTAAGGACTACCCTTAAATCCATTGAATGACTAATAAAGATGGGAAAATGCACATTTCCATGAGCTAGCTTCAGAACCACCATTTCAAAGACCATAAGGCCTGGCATTCAGCAATTAGAAAAGAACCAAGACAAAACTCAAAACCAGACCCCTCACACACAGTCATAGGGAAAGGAATAAGAAGCCTTTTTTGGATCATCTTCCCCTTTTTAATATAAAGTCTTCTGAAAATGAGATTTTGTCAAGTTTGTATTGTATCAACAATGCCAAATGTCTCCACTTCTGCATTTTTGGAGAAGATATTTTCTCTTTTCAGAAAGGTATATACATGGCACAACAGAAAATTCTATTGCTTTGATAAAGCTGTATAGAAAGAGTTAAGAGCATTAAAAAAACCTGACCAGTGCAGTATTACCAGTTGTTTCAAATGGACCATCAGCAATTATTCATAATTAGCAGTTAGAAGCTGTAGCTAATAAAATTTTAAGTACATTTCTTTATCTCTGAAAGCCTGAATTTAGTTTGCTACTGAAATTTTTATAAAGCCTGCAAACAAGTATAAATTGCTACATATATGTTTGTACTTTACTGGGTTTTGTGCACCAAAGGTTTATGGAATCATAAAAAGATATGGATTTGAGAGATACAACAGGAAAACCAGTATCAGAAACTGCAAGAGAAACTCATTTTAAAAAAGTGGTCTCTGCTAGTGACATGATAAATCAGGGTGTCACTGCCTCCCGTGTAGCCTAAATTAATAGCTGAACAAAGCCTTTTTCCTAGGCTGAATTCTGACATTAGGTCATAAGTAAGAGGGAATGGGAGAAAAGGAGATTGGGGAAAAAAAAAGGAGAAAATAAAAAATAACAGCTCCTCTACCAAGACACAGCATCCAACATTAGAAACAAAGCTTCCATCTCCCTACCGCCCACTCTCTGGATGACTCTTGCAAGAGATGAAGTTAAAAGGGCTTGAGGCTTTTACACTGTTCCTAACTCTAGCTCAGTCTTCAGTCCCTTTGCAACGATTCCCCTGCAACGAGCAAAAATAATCTAGGGCTGAAGCAGTTTCTTCCTCTAACTTCCCTATTTCTGCCTCAGAACAGAAATCTAGCTCTTCTGTTCTCACAACTGACTTTTGCCTTCTTTGTGCACTCCCACCCACAGATTAGAATTTAGAGCTTCCTTTTCACACTCCTAATTTACATCCTTCTTCCATTCGAAGGCAGTAGCAGGACCCAACTACAAAGATCACCACACTGCTACCAGAGGTGGCCACTGGACTATGACAGCAGCACAAAGAGCAGCACTTTTAAATACACCATGCCATGAACTATCATCATATGATAATCTGTAGGGTTATATCTGAACTTCAGCATGGAACTCAAACCCATTTCCAGTCTGGTCTCACTGCTTCTCCTCTGTCCCTTTCTCTATCTTTTTCATTAATGCAACACTGTAGATGCATGCCCAAGTTTTACCTCACTCCTATTAAGATCTCAGCATTTACTCATGGTTTTGATTATACCAGTATCAATATGCACCAAACATGATAAATAAAACAGAAAGGCACAAAAGCATGACTAAAGGCTTTCTGGAAGACAGGGAAGTAAGGATTTTATCAAAAATTTACTTTCTAAAATAGGCTTTTGGGGCTGTTAAGGATCACCCACACCTCAAATATGGTATATACATACCACACATCAACCCCCTCTTTTTCCACACTGTACTGAAAACCAGGACTATCTGAATAAGTTAAATTAAGAGGTGAGGAGACAATCAACATTTTAATCCAAAAAGTCTGATATTTCATAGTCTGATTAGAAACACCACCATCTGAGCAAAAAATTCTTTGTGTGTCCTCCCATGGCCTTAAGACAGGGACTGTAAGCATTACTTAACCATTCTTAGCTTTCTTAGATACTATCTTCCTTACAATGCAGTCTTATCAAACATAAGAAAATAACCAAATACCTAATTACAGAATTGCCACTGTCATTTGTGAAAAATTCTGACAGCATTTGAATTAATTTTACCTTTCTGTATATTCAAGTACCACTAAGGTACTCTGCCTGACTCAATACCCTTCACAAGGAACAGGAGACAACTCTAGATGCTGCCATCAATGGCTCTACTCTTGAAGGGTCCAAAAGTTCATTTCACACCCTCTGCAGTCAGTGAACAGGCTTGAATTTAGCAACCATTAAACACAGCCACTTCAGCAGGGAAAAGGGGTTTTTTTTCTTAACTAAAAGCCATAGCTTTACCACAAACACTAATTCTTTACACCTCTCTTTAAAGCAGATGCTACTCTATTTATAAAGCTTTTCTCTTTTAGAGAGATGCTCTTATACTCTGTCATTTGTCCATTCCCTACATTTAAACTTAAAATAGCTGCCAAACTTTTACTTATTACTCTTTAAAGGCCATTTAATCACCTCAGTCTCCACATGATACTCAAAAAACGCAAATTAAATGAAAATTTTGTTTGGAAATAGCTGATGTGTCCTGGTTTGTTATTTTTTTTTGTTAATAATATGTTATTTTTGTAATGTGCTAGCAAAGAAATCTGGTATTTCAAAAAGTTTTCTGTGATTTTTGTGGTTTGATATAGCGTTTTTTTTGTTTAGTTTCTAAACTCATTATGGTTCATAAAGCCCAATTCTGATCTCTCCTTGACTTACTCAGCTTAGACTGGGAAACTCCACCTTAAAACAGGGAAGCTCCTCTGTATAGCCTTTACAAAGCATATAACCAACATGTCTTCAGTTCTACACACACACACAGGCACATCGAATTACTTGATTTATTTCCAACACTGATTAAAGTTCAAATGAATTTAAGAAAATGCATATCAATCTTCTAGAATCATGGAAAGGTTTCAGTTGGAAGGGACCTTCAAAGGTCATCTAGTCAAACCCCCTGCAATAAGCAGGGACATCTTGAATTAGATCAGGTTGCCTGGAACCATATCCAGCCTGGCTTTGAATGTCTCCAGGGATGGTGCATCCATCACCTCTCTCGGCAACCTGTGCCAGTGTTTTACCACCACCTGTAAAAAGTTTTTTCCTCACATCCAGCATTAATATCCCCTCTTTTAGTTTAAAAGCATTAACCCTCATCCTATCTCATTGTTTCCTAACATTTCCAGAAAACAGCACTATCATGAAGACTTGTTTTGATCCAAGAATAAACATTAAATGATTCGAACAAGCTACTGGGGAACGGAGGAGCAGGAATAACAGACCAAACAATGAGCTGTACAACTGAAAGGTGTTACAGCCTCTCTATATTTCTCCATGGTGCTGACCATTACTTTATTTTTAAATATATATGTAATTATATATATAAATATATGTTATAGAAATTTCTTTATTATAGAAAAGCTTTAGCTGGACCAAACCTCCTTCTTCCACCTCATGAGTGTTCATAGTATTTTCACCATGTAAAAAAATATACCTCCCCAACACCTGTACTTCAGAGAAGGCTTACCTAAAGAATGTGCAGCTGTAGTTTTGGAGCTGAAAAATCGACCAAGTCCAAGGTCTCCAAGCTTTACCACCCCTGTAGCTGTAATGAACACATTGGCTGGCTTTATATCTGGGGGGAGAAAAAAATAATAAATTTAAAAGTCACAATGAGACTGCAAAACCAGCTACTGTTCTATTAATAATAGACTGAAAGAGGCTTTTATTTACAGCTAGTCCTAATAAAATTTGATTGTGCTGCTCAGAAAGAGGAGTCTAGGATTCAGAATTTCAAATTAACTACTTTAATAGTATAACCATCACTCAAAAACAGAAAATCAAGACCCATGGAAAGTGTTTAAAAGAAAAAAAACACAAGCAAACAATAACATCAAAACACCAGCATCCACCCCACACCCAAAGCAGCTTATAAAGGGAGTTCATTACAACTTTATATAAGCTACATATAGGGTCTTCCATTAGAAGTAGGTTATGCCTTAAGTAACAGATCAAAAATGTTTAAGAACTGTAAAACATTTTTCATCACTTATGCTGATCAGATTACCCACAGTGGTGTGATGTTATTTGAGATAGGCAACTGATTCTCTTTAATAGCAGACATTGGAAAAAGGAAGCAAGTTTTACTCGTGAGAATGGTTATTTGAATTGAATGGAATTGAGCTAATCAAGTAGAAAGAAAGAAATAATTATGTATATCTAGAGTTATTTTTCAAAAGTAACACTCAGTTATAGTGTTAATCCAAACCTTCAGAGATAACAGCAAAGATTTTCATTTTATCATTTTCAACAAGGTAACTATCCCATTACTCTTCTAAACAAACTGACCTAGTATTTGCTTAGCAAGTGTGCTTAAGCTCTAACTCAGCTCAACAGCAATGCACTGTTGCTTGAACTTAAAAAGAAAATCTGTTAACTTGGACAAGAGGGGGTTACTGTTTGCATAAGATATGGGTACAGTAAAAGGAATGGTAAATAACCCTTCACACACCAGAATTCTCAGGTTTCCAATAAAAAGTTACAAAAGCTTAAAGCCTAACAGAGGAATACAGAAACAGTTATGTTATGCAGCTATCTGACCTACCTTTCAGGAGTTTGTACCACCTTTGTTTAACAATCCAATACTGATACCAGCTAAACTTAAAAATAGCTTCAGTTGTCATTGGCTTTGGTGTGTAACCATAGAATTGTTAGATTTGAAATAGGTTTGCCAGAAGCTTTGAAGACTGCATTTCAGTTTAAGGAGTTTAAATTCCTTCTGTTTTTTAAAGAAAATATACTGAAATAAGCTAGTTTAGTTATAAAAGCATTAAAGGAAGATACCTATACCCTATGGAAAGGGCCTGTAATTTTACGTCCTTCTCTTTGGGTATTTTGCACTTGCAGATATATGTACAAATGGGCAAAGGGGAAGAAAAAAGAAAAAGAAGAATCACAAGGGAAAGCTACTAGCAAGGGCAGGGGCATCTAAATTCATCTCCTGAAGAGTGCAACGTCTCTGGTTGCAAATGACAAAGCTCAGCAGAGATAGATGACTTTTGTTTTCAGGCAGCTATTTACATCCCAGCAGAAGGAAGTCACCAACCTAAGACACAATTTCACCTGAACCCAAAGAGATAGCCCATATACAGCTTGAAACTCATAACCAGTGGGATTTCCAGAGCAAAAGAAATGGTACATGTGAGAAGCAGCTATACCATGATCTGTTTTATTTGACTCTGTTCAAAGGTAAAATGAAGACAGCATACAGAGGAGACAGCACTAAAGAGGTTTAAAATGGGTAAAAGAAATTTAGTACCTGACAGAGTTAGCTGGCATCTACAAGGGCTGTTGGGACACAGTACTTGACACAGAGATTGGAAATAGCAGAGAGAAGTAGAGAAGGGGAGAAAATTCTCATAGCTGGACATAATCCAGTAGATAAGGGAACGGGAAATGGGCCTATACATCATCAAAAAGCATAGCAGGAGACAAATACTTTCACAAGAAAAAAAGGTGCAAAAGGTCAAAAGAATAGATGAATAGCTGTGCAAGAATGCAGGCAATGGGAAAGAGAATGGGAAAACACAGAAGAACAGGACAGAAAATGAGAGCCAGCAAAATGAACTGACCAAGCAAAGAGGTAGCAGTGCAGGGTCTCCATCACAGTACCATGAATTATTTTGAAACCTTGGTATCACAAGCCATTGCTGCAAACAAACACTTGCTGCAAACAAATGCTTACCACAACAAATGCAGAACCACGAATTTCTGTCACACTCTTCCATTGCTTATAAAACATTACAAAAAACACACATTGTGTCAGCTGCCAATATCAATTCCACTATGATGTTATTTGGTGTCATTGGCATTGAAACAGCTTAATTCTCACAAAGTAAAAGGTTTAGCAAAGACAAATATCACCGTTGATCCTGTATTACCTCTATGCATAACACGACGAGAATGCATATGTTCCAAGGCACTGCAAAGCTGAACAAAGTACTTCCAAACTGTTCTTTCAGGAATCAACCTCTTCTGTTTCTTAAAATGCTTAAAGAAAAAAGGATGGACACTGAATATTAAAATTTAAAACGTACACAAAACATCTAAAAAAATAGAAAATCCTTTATTTAAAAACAAAAGATGCTCCAAACTAATGAGAAAAGTTTAACAAAAATTCTTGACATAAAGCTTTTCCCTTAAATACTAACACATGTATCATCAATGTATGTGCTTGTCAACACAGAGACACACATGACATTAATGAAATCAAGCTGCTATCCCAAAAGAAATATTTATATGCTATTTAGAAATCCTCAGTGCAGGATTAATGCAGTCAGAACAGTCTAGCATAGAGTAAGCAGACACAGAACAAACAAAGGTCAGATACAAAGGTATGCGCCACAGAGCTTCCTAAATTAAATACTTCCTTACACCAACATGGATTTCCATGAGCTTATTTTCTAAATAGAAATGAAAAACAGTAGTGACCCATAAGCACAAAGGTCATGCAAGAAGAGTTTATCCGATTAATCTTGGAAACTTCTGCTATACGTAAAACAGGACTAAAGGAACTGTGACATTTCTGACAATTTCACAGATAGCTAACTCCTGCTCAAATATCTTCCATCCTGTATGAATGACCATTCCCAATCACTGGTCACAGTTCAATGGCCTGTTAAAGCCTACGTTAAACACAATTATGCTCTGCTACATTCATCTCCTTCAAATACTACATTCAGGGACTGGAATGACACAGTCCTCCAAAAATACCTACTGAAAACCTGGAATTCAGCCAATACTAAACCATTCAAGTTTGATCCCTCTAAATTTTGCAGCTAAAGGTAAGACAACTGAAAAACTGCTGCTTATTTAATCTCTCTTTTTAAAGAATTCCCATTTTGACAGATTTTTAAGTTAAATGCACAAAAGAAATACAACACTAATACTAGCAAAATTTTAGATGGAAAGCAATGTACTTAGATCTATTTTAGCAGCATATGTACACACACACTTCACACGAACACCCTAAGAAAGTTCATATAACAAGCATTTATTATGCTGGAAAAATAAAAATATTTTCATATGCTGTATTAAAATGTGCCACTGAGAAGTTGACAGATGCATCTACGCGTTAGAGATGCATGCAGGAGTATGAGAAAGATGTTTTTAAACTAAACATAGCCAAACGTATCTGTGATACAAAGGATCATAACATTTCACCGAAATGTGTTTAGTTATAGTGATTATTCAAAATACATTTTCATTTAAATGAGGTAAAGCATATAAATTACTTCTTTAAATATAATTCTCTTGCAGTCTTGGACTGAATCCAAACAAACCCTGTGTATCTGTTCTCCCCATAGCTGGATTTGCATATCAGAGGACTGTTTGATGTCAACAGGAAGATGGAGACCAGGTTTCTTTTCATTCAAAACTAAATACACAATACATGTAAGCATGTGCACATGAAAGCACAGTTGATTTTAAAATGCATTCTGAAATCATCATAATTATAACTAGGTACTTTATTTAAACATTCTGATTTTTTTTTTTAAATCTAAGTACAGTGATGCGCCACCATTAACAAAATATCTGAAATGGGAAGATTTTCCATTACAGATTTCCATTCCAATGTACCTAAAGTACATCAGCATCCTTTTAAAGTATTTATGTACAAGCATTCTTTTGACATTTTATTCATTTGCCATTTATAACACTGTAGCCGACTGTACACCAGAAAAATCAGCTTCAGTTTTTACAGTGCAAGCATTCAGTATAACAGTTTTTAAAATGTAGCCTCACTCTACTGAAGGCATTAATAATTTTGCATAACAACTCTTTCCTGACTGAAAGCATCGATATTAATCCTGTAGAATTTATCCATCTAAAGAGGATGTAAAAAAAGAGCTGCTAGATTTGCTAACTATGTTTAAACTAAACAAGAAATAAGTATCATTTTCTCTTGTGTAAGTTTGAAAACAATTATCTCTAAAATAAACTCACTGAAAATTGTTTTGTGTACTAATTAATTACACTATCTTCTTCCCTCAAAATACATATTCTCAATGTTTTCTTGAGCTGCTGTCCACCAACAGCCAGAGCAGTGATGAAAAGACTTTGCAAAACTAGCTACTGAAACAAATTATATGTTTCTAAGAAACAGTCCAGCAGGCAGAGTTAATTCTGAGAAAAGTCAATAAGGAAAAGGAATCCCATTCCTGATTAGAACTTCTAACAAGAAATACAGATCAATGGAAAGCATGGTCAAACCTTTTTTATGCCAAACAGCATAATTAAATTCATACATATAGCACATATTAACTGTATTGAAAGCAAGATCCTTTTCTCTCTCCTTCATTTTTAAATAGTCCACAATGCAAAATGCAGTTCTACTGGTTGTGGGGTTTGCCCCCTCCCTATGGGGAAGGCCAAAGTGCAGATGACATGATGCCAAAACAATAATTTTTAACCTCTACAGTAGCAGAGTGTAGCAGCACCACAAACAGTTAATGCTGAAACTAATTCTCTGCCTAATGCTGTAATGTCTCAAGCATCCCAAAGTCTACATAATCAAGCAAACTTATTAGTCATCTTCCACTATATAAGAGTTGCTATTACCTGCTCAAATTTGACCTCAGAGGAATACAGCCTGACATACAGCTTTCTGCGGCACTCTCATCTTCAACATTTCACTATTCTGCTTCTTCCACCTGTCCTGATGTTCCTCAAATCACTGACCTTCTAGGGTGTGACATTAAAAAAACATAATCCTGTTAGAGATGAAGCATCAGTCTCAACATATTTGAAACTGGGCAAAAAAGGAACTGCTTGTACATGTGCATTAAAAATTTGAGCAGTGTTGCAAGCTAGTGTTTTATCAGGTAAACACAGAATACCAGGCATGCTCAAGCAGCACACTATCTCCTAGCCAGAATTATTTGTTTCAAAAGACACATCCCACAAGGTTTCCGTCCCTGAGAATGGAATCTCAAAAAGCTACTTTGAAGAGTTTTCACAATGGCACTACAGAGGAAACTGCAATTCAGTCACTTAATGCAACTAGAAATTTTTGTGGTCATAAATCTGGTATTCAAACGCCTTAAAGAGCTTTAAGGTAGGCAGGTTATACCACCAGCTTGTCTTTTCGTCCCTTTTCACAGAATGAAAGAGCAGTTTGGTTATAGGAAAATGGAATTCTCCTGGGCTTCTTTAATGAATTACTACAAGAAAAGTTAAATATTCTCCAAATGTTTCCATCCTAGTTTAGTCAAACATAGTTGCCCCGCACCTAAACAGCACATGCCATTCAGCTTCTGGGAGGGATAAAAAAAAGTAAAAGGTAGACAGGGAAAAAAAAAGTTTTAAATCAATATAAAAGCATAGAATGATATCATACTGAGTTTCTGAAGATGATGCTTTAAAGGTCAAATTCCAAAAGCAAAAGTGACAGCAATTAGTAAATGGTCTTATCTAGACTTAACAAGCACAGTTCAGAGAATACTCTTAAAGGACTATGTTTGACTTTTGTAAGAAAACTAAGGATTTACTGCTGATGAGTAAAGCACAGTGAGCACGGATGATTTCAGTGCAATTGGAGACCTCGGGGGGGGTGGGGGGGAGGGAAGGAACATACTTTTATTAAAAAAAATTAAATAAAAATAAATAAAGAGAGGATTTGGAGGAAAAGTAAAATGAGAATGATCAATTCCTTGCTTTATTTATATTCTTTTTGCTTTCTTTCATGTTTTGATAAGAAACTTGATTGCATCTGCCTATTCCCATTACTTCACTTCCAGCTTACAAAACAACAAAGTGTTTTGCTTTGTTTTTGAGATGGGGGTGGTTTTGGCAGTTTTGTTGTTGTTTAGTTGTTTTGGTTTTTCAACAACCATACACTTGTTGGAATAAATCTGAACTTCATAAAGAAGAAAGCAACACAGAAAGGATTATTACAAGGAACCTCCAAGTTACACACAATGAAGTTCTGGCCACTTCTGCCTGTGTTTTCTTGGGAGTCATTTTTAATGTGGTCTACCAGAAAGAAGAGGAAAGAGTAGGTCAGGAAGCTGCAACAGGATATTACAGAAGTGTGAGCAAGAGTTCTCATTGTGAATACAACAAAAATAAAGCAGAACTGGCAAACGGTCAAAAGGTAGACCAGTGAAGATGGACCTCAACATCTCTGCACTTCAAAGTAAAGATCAGAGACTCATGTATATAGAAATTAAGTTTCTACATGGCAATTCCTATTTAAAAGGCAATATAATTCTAGTAGGAATGCAGCGTCCCCGGAGTGTTGTTTAGCTCTGTGTACTCATGAATTCAAGCTGCCCACCTCTTCAGACCATGATAAGTTTTCTGCCATTTTTTCTTGCTTTCTATGCAGAAACACAAATAGAACTTTTCACCACATCTTGATTCATTCATCCAGTCTGATCACAAGTTTGCCTACATTTCAAGAGTAGCAGCTGTCTCTTAGCTGTAAAAATAGAACAAATATTTAAAAAAATCCAAATTATTTGTCATCTACCAACTGACCATACAGAAACTATGAAGTAGTTGGCCAATAAAGAGACTAAAAAAGTAATTAAAAAAATACCTGGATGTTTTTCCACTTTTGATTTACAGTTGCTTATGTTAAGTTTTTCTCTTCCAGAATCCACCAAAAAAAATGCATTAAAAAAAAATATAGAATAAATTCAGTCTTTATCCGTTAGTGATCTTAGTATACGGCAAATAACTTAAGTCAACTGCACAAAAGAGTAAGACACAGTACGAAACCTAATGCACAAAACAGCATCAGAAGGGCAGACTAGTAGAATTACACTATGGTCTTCCCTAAACTAACTAAATAAAAAAACCCACCACAAACACACCAAAGAATCGAGATGGAAACGTCTTCTCAAACACAATCTTCTTTCACACATAATCAAAATAGAGACATCTACATACAAGAAATTGAAAGCCTTGTAAGAAAAACACAAGTCAAAATTCTCATATTTTCCTTTTTTAGTATATTCTTTTGTGTTAATAATCTATTAATGGGA